TTAACTGAATTATGGTCATAAGAGATCCCTCCATCTAGATACTGGGGCTGGATAATAATTATACTTTCTCATAAAAGTGTAAAAAAGTTATATTAGTAAGCCTGAATTTGTAGTAAATGTTATTTTAACGTTGATCATGCTGCATTGTAATCCTTTTTGCTTGTGTCAGTTCCTTATCCTGTGTTGTTTTACTCATCCTTGGATTCCAGTGGCTATTACTGGGTATACAAGCACTCTAAGGAAGTAGGTGTCCAATGGAAACTTGTTGACACAATGGAGGATTTAACAGCTGTATGCCAATTTAAAGTTGTTTTGTTTTGTTTTTTTAAAAGCTGTGACTCAGCCACTGTCAATAGAACCATATTATTGGAAAGTACTGCTTTTCATAGTTACACTCATCAAAATGTGAAACCTCACTTCTGTTTTTAACTTAACCTGTATGACCTTGAGTAAGGGACTTTGGAGGACTTGACTTTCTTATCTAACTAGCATAAGTCAAGATGATAACTTCTCAAAGACATGAATTTTAAATGAGATAAAATTGAAAGCATTGTGTGTGTGTGCATATACACTTCCTAGTTTAGACCAGAGCCATGGGCTAAGTTTAGTTGTAAGACTTTTAATAAGGACGCTTGTAAGGTCCTAAAGCTGGATCTGTATAACCAACTGCGTAAGCACAGAACAGAAAGATAGCTTTGCAGCAGCATATCTAAAAAGATTGAGGATGTTGCCTCCAGCAAGCTTAATATGAATCAATAATACAGTGTCACTTTTCCAACAACATTCATTAATTATCAATTGATTAATTATTAATTACCTACCGTGTAATAGAAGTTTTAAAGTCTATTAACGGAAATAACCAAAACAGAGTTTCCCAAAGTGAGTTCTGCAGAGAATCACTTGATCTTACTAGTTATTATGGGAGGTGGGCGGGGGGGGGGGGTTGGGAAATGGCGGGTTAAATAATTGAACATGTCTGTTGGAGAATTTCTGTGGCCTTCAGTTATTGTGAGTTGTGGATCTCCCAGAGGGGCTTGACAGTGCTTTGGTCACAGATGGAACAGGGCTGCTGGCAGTTTTGCTTGTTGCTGGGCCCAGACCACTTGGACCACTCAGTCAGCATGGGATAGGCTCTGCCCTTCAAGGGGAGAGTATAGAGCCAGTATCCAGAGAAGGGCAGTCAGGATGGGAGGGAGGTTGTGTTGATACCGTGGGAGGGACACTGTGTTGATACCGTGGGAGGGACACACACAGGAAGTGGGGCTGTCTAGCTTGGGGTGTGGGGAGCGGTTAGATTGGGTTAGAGGTGAGGGCGATTGGGTGGGTGTGAGGAAGATTGAAATGGCCTGTCTTCTAACACCTGAAGTGTGGGATTTGACTGTTCTTTCAAAGGGCAGAATGAGAACCAGTGGGTAAAAGTGACTGAGAAACATTTTGGACCCAACCCAAAGTAGAGTTTTCTTTGAAGATGGCTGTGTTTTACTTATATGCTGACTCTGTTCTTAGAAGCCATAGTTTTAGGTTGGTGTGAAAGCATTAGATGGTTTTGAAAAGTGTTCTTTAAAATCCCATCTAATCCCAAGTCTGTAAATTTGTGTTTTCTTTTGTTTGGCAAAATTTATTTCCTCAGCCTTTTTTTCAGTATTGTGCTAATTCCTGTGGATAATTAGAAAAAGCGTTAATAATAGGTGGTTTATGTAAATTTGTTATTTGAATGACAACACTGACACATGAGACAGTTGTTAGCAAACTAAGACAAAATATAAACAAAAGACTCATTTTTGATAACAGTACCACAGAGATTTGGGAACGGGGAGAGTGGAAGAGGATGTAAACTGGGTTGGAAGGATGAATAAGGTTTGCATGGCAGGAAGAACAGAAGCACTGAAAGGCAGCAGCAGCCCAGGGATGAAGGCAAGAGATATAGAAGGCTTTGGAGCAAGTGCCTGTGCATAAATCTGTAATTAAGAAAGATCCATCTGGCGGCTTTGTGTAGGAGATAAAGATTTGAGAGCTATCTCCTTAAGAGTAATCATTTAAGCCATGGGGGTGCTGGAAATCGTGGAGGGAGAGATTGTGGCTAGGACATGAATGAGCCAGGCCTTAAAGCTTAGTGGTTAGAGCATAGATAAAGCTGGTTCACGTTTATCCCTGTGTTGACCTTGGTGAAGCTCCGTGGAGAAACCTGAAGCCTCTAGAAGTTGACTGTAAATTGGATGGTATTATTTGCCTCTTACTTGCCTGTTAAGATAATTATGAGGATTAAATGAGATAAAGAATTATGTAATTAAGTACTCAATAAATGTTACTTACTATTATTCATATTATAGCTGAAGTTGCCTAAAGCAGTGTTTAGGGACTCCATGTTGGAATCACCTAGAAGCTTGTTACAAGTACAGGTCCTTCCCCTCTCAGACACTTCCAGTCTCTGGGGGTGGGGCCTGGGAACTCAGCTTTAAAAAGCTCTCCAGGCAATAGACAAGGTCAAGTTGGATTCCTGCCCTAGGGGAATCCTACAGTGGGGATTCAGAACTAAGAAAGGGAGAGAATTTTGAAGAGGAGCTTAACTACGCTGATCTTTGCAGTGTGGAAGATAAAAAGTACAGAGAAGATTGTGAAATTTGTGGGGAAGGAGGTAGTGTATTGTTTACAGTACCTAACAGCTTTACACACAATGTTTAATAAATATTTGTTTTATAATTCTGAAGACACCTGGTTTAGTAATACGTGTATGTTATATATGTGTGTGTGTGTGTACATAATGTACACTTTATGTAGCCCAAATGATAAAAAATACCACAGAACCACTTTAAAAATTTGATATTGAATGAAGTTTAAATCTTATGTTTAACATATTTATGAACTGCCTACGAACTGTGACCCTGCACTGTGCTATTTGCTGTAAATAGAAAATAAGCTATAGCTCTTGTTTTCAGAGGCTTCACAGAATTACACTTTTTTAAGGGTTTGAGGCTGTCTTTTTCCATAACGCTTGCCAGCTACAGAGAATAAACACTATCTGATGTGTTCTCTGTGGAGCCGAAGTTAAGGGTGTGATTGTCTTGTCGTCAATGCACGGCCTAATTTGAAACTGCTACCTCCTCATTCCTGAAAGCAATCTGAACATTCACGTCTTCTGTTTATTATTTTATGGCTCAGGATATACCTTAGAGATGATTTGGAATCTTCTGAAAGATTTTGTGTCCCTGTTTAATGTGGGCCAATGGGGGGTTTTCAGTATTGAGAGTTTTGCCAGTTGGCTTGTCCCCATCTCCACCCCCATCACCAGTACAAGCACCAAACACAATAGCTTGAAATTAAGTAAATTGACTTCTGAGTTTCATCTACTTAGTTGTTATTTACTGCCCAATATGTGCAGGACAGGACGATGTGATAATAATGATGAAATAGTGTCAACAAAATATGTCTTGTTCAAGAGCTAGGACAGCTGAGGCCATGTGTATTAAGTCTGGACGAGGCCTGGCCTCTCCACTGAGGACCTGTCTGGGGCTGGGTTGGAGGTCAGTCAGGTGTACCAATGATCCCCAATAACCCCCAGAGTTTAGGTTTGTAAGTGGACCAGCCCTGGAAGACAGCCCCCTTTCACAGTGGTGTGGGAAGGCGAGTCCATTAGAATGGGTGTGTTTAAACCTTACAATTTCTTGAAAATAGGTGGCATAGTATTTGAGATTGCAAGTAGAATACAGGAATTATATTCACTTGTATTCGTGATCTCCTGGTTTCATATCATAGACTTCAAGAAAACCCGGTGGAGCTCACTCTCCGAAATGACAATGATTAGGCAGTTAATCTGAATAATCACTTGTTAAGAATATGGTTTTTGTTTTGTTTTTATGAAGATATAATTGTGGTATAACATAATAGTTTTGGGTATACAACATCACAATTTGATATTTGTATATATTGCAAAGGCAATGTGTTTTAATTGACTCTTGGACCAAACCCTTGCTTTTCCCCATTGCTTTGGACTTTGGGGCTGAGGTAGGTGAATAGTGAGTACTGCTAACAGTCTTTCATTATTTTCTTTTTCTCTCCAAATGCCCCCAAAGAAAAGTAGCTGGAGTCTTAGTCCACCATTTTCAAAAGGTTGCCAAGACTAGACCTAGATGGGTGTTTCCAGTAGGCATAGCAGTCAGTGGTTTCTATTCTCTGCGGGTAGCCATCGAATATTGAGAAGGTGAATTAAAGAGAGCAGAGATCTTTTAAAAAATGTTTTAATGGAACCATAAAAGTCTTTCTGATCCTCACAGTGCTCGAATACAGATTGGGTATTTGAAGACCTGGTGGAATATAATTTTTAAAAAAATACAGTTTCTCGGGCCAGCTGCATGGCTCGTTGGTTACGAGTTGGCTTGGGAGCGTGAGCTCTGAGCAGCAGGGCCACTGGTTCGGTTCCCACATGAGGACCAGTGATGCTGCACCCTCTACAGCTAAGATGTTGAACAACAGCTTGACCTGGAGCTGGGCTGCTATGAGTCGCCGGCGACGGCGTAGGCTGCAGCGGGCATGAGCTTTCGTGAGCTACCATGGGTCAGCGAGTGACTGCCTCACGTGGGAAGAGCACAATGATAATACCAACATGGGCCAGTGAAGTGACATCCTCCACAACTAGACTGAAGAACAAAAGGACAGCAACTTGTCTGTTCTTCTTCCCCGATTCCCCCAACACTGTTCCCTCTCCCAATTCCCTCCCCCCCAAAAATCTTTAATAATAAAAACAAATATATGGTTTCTTTAAAACTGCTAAATATTGACAGAAATTGTCCTAAGTCCTACTAGCTACTCAAAGAATGTGGTGTCCTGAAAACATCGAACCCAATATGAAATGTAAAGTTATGGCATTTGTTGGGTTTTAGACCTGAAATAGGTTTTAAAAAAAAGTAAGAAACCCAGAGTTACGTGTGTGTATTTTATTTGTTTTGTCTTAATGGTTGCTTTTGAATTCACTTCTATTTCCCCCTTCTTTCTTTTCTCTGCAGTGAACACCTACCTCTTCATGATGCAAGCTCAAGGCATTCTGATCCGGGACAACATGAGGACAATAGGAGCTCAGGTTTATGAGCAGGTAGTTCGGAGCGCTTATGCCAAGAGGAATAGCAGCGTGAATGACTCAGGTATGTTTTGGGTAAAGATGTGGTCTGCTTAGAATGTCTCCTCCCAGGAGAGGGAAATTTAGTTCAAATAATTATTTTTGATGGAACAAAGTGCATTGTAAAAGAGGAAAAGTTTGTCTGAGTTTTACCTTATTACTACAAAAGAAGCTCTTGCAAAACGAATCCGTGTTTGTTTTGCTAACAATGTGTTTGGGGTGACTGGGTGATTCCATTTTTACTCCTAATGCTTTCCAAGGAGGAGGGGGCACGGAGTATCTTTCAAGAGCCCTTTTTTCAGTGTAGTTGCCCCCAGTAGGCAGAATAGATTAAGCATATATTTAGGACACCAGCAAAACAGAAGCACCAAAAGCTGTTTCTGGAAATAATTAATTTAAAACAAAAAAATGTATCCATACAGCCAACAAGGCAAACAGAACTTTATTGGGATTCCTTATACTTATTTTACGATTTCACATTGTTTTTTTGAGTTGCGCATGGTGGTGATGGTGATGGTCTGTATTGTTTTCAAAGCTAACCTGGCCCTGGTTGCCTGCCGCACAGGAAGAGTTGCTTCAGCTCTGTTCTTCCTATTGGACTCCTCTTGAATTTGTTCCACCCAGTAGGACTCATTGTTTATGAATGCTTTAGTTGATACTTACCAACTTTCCAATTCATAATAATCATGTAATCTGGGTCAGTTTCCACAAATTGAAAAAGCAACTTCTGAAAGAAAAGATTAATAGGTCACCTGGTTTACCTTGCCCCGTCATGTGTGGTTTTCATCCAGCAGCTTAATTCCAGCTCCATGGCTGAATCTGGTGGTCAGATTTATTCAGACTTGAAGAAAGCTTCTCAGACTATTCAGGTACCATCACAGTGGTGGACACAAGAGTGAACATTTCTGCCTCAGTCTCTGGGACCTTTACCTGTGTGGCTTTTGTTATCTTATTAAACACTAATTATACATAAAGAGGAAAAAACACAGAGGCTAGTTAGCTTGCCTAACTCTGTACTATAAGAACTTGTTCCTAAACATGGTTTTGACTATTTTTATAAAAGACAATATACATGGGATGTGCTTTACCTTTGAGAGAAAGCTCTTTTTTATTCTCTCTTTAACTCTTCCAGAAATTGGGACATAGGAAGTATTTCCAGATGGTTGAATGGGACTGTCATGAGGCTGGTCCAGTCTAGCCAGGGATGGTTTTCATTTACAAAATAGATTCTGACACTTCATTTTGCCAAGCATTCATGATTCACCTCTTATCTCTTTAACTCAGGACTAATGTGTATTCCTGTGGCTTCTTAACTGATTTTATCAAGCCCAGTATTATAAAATATGTATATTAAAAAAAAATCCTTTCCTCCAAATCAATCCACTCTTCTTCTGTAGTAAGTTCTAAGATAGTCTGCAGCTCACTGTAGAATGTACAATTGCTTTGCAGACATTGCAGATGAGAATTATTCTGTGGTGCTTGGAATCTCAAGAGAAAGCATTGCCTCTGGAAGGGAAGTTAAACCTTTAAAGGAATTGACCACGTCCTAATTTATCAGTCTGTGCTGCTGGCTAGCTTAGCAGCAACAAAGGATGATAGTTAGCAAACAGATACGCTTTGGTACTTTCTTCTTGTTTGCAAAAAGCAAATGATTGACTTTTCAGAGCTTTTTAGCCAAATTGCGGCCTTAGGACAAATTGTCTGAGCTCTGAACCATACATGGAAGAAGACTCCCTGTAGTTCCGGCAGTCATGGGAGAAGGCTGAGCACATTTTTGTTTCCTGATTCATCGTGTGTGGCATTAGGTTTTGCAAATGATCCCCACACGCTTTGTCTCACTCGACTTGAATATGGCTCAGTCAGGCTGGGGGAATTTTAAGTTACTTCCGTTTTTCACACGTAGTACAAAACCATCTTGTGGGTGTTGGAGTGCCTGGCGTGTGCCTGTCCCTAGACCCTGCCCCAAACCTGCGTTAGGTTGTGTGGTGAAAGTAGGGAGTTATTTGACTGCCATTCCAGAGCCCTCTCTGCCCTGTATCACTCTGGATAAAGGGACTTTTGTGCTGTCATGACATTTATCCAGGTCAGGCATTCATGCCTTTCCAAAGTTACATGATGCTAGGACTACTGTCTGGGCATTTGGCGAGGTAGCCTGTTCTCTCTCGGCAGGTAGAGGGGCGCCTAGCAGGACTGCATCCCTGCACCGCTGGCTGGTCATGCAACACAGGATCTCGCTAATTCCTTGAGGGGCGGCTGTCTTTGAAAACTGAGCACACACGGGACTTGCACCCTTGGAAGGCATAATCATCTATTCTGTTTAGTGTGTCCATGTCCCTTATAAATTAGAAATCTTGCTGTTGAGTGCTATGTTATACTAGACACTTTACTTGCATTACCTCATGGAACCCTCACAGCAACTCAGTAAGGTAACTACGTATTCCCCATTTTAGGGATGAATGGGTCAAAGCACATAGGAGTGACAGACTTGATGCAGCAGTGGAGTTGGGGTTTGCTGACCTCCAACCCGGCCTCTGTCATCTTTGTATCCCCAGTACTTTGTCCACTGCCTAGCACATAGGAGGCACTCAGTAAATGATTTTTGAGTGTGTGAGTGGATAGATTTAACACGAGAATACATTTTAAGTGTTGTAATCTAATTCTGAGTTTATCATCTTGATTGGCTTCTGTGGGTTTTTTGTTATGTTTTTTTGGTAGGTTTTAAAATTTTACTTTTGCTTTTTTCAGGGTTTTTTTGCATTTTATTTATTTTGACATTCAATATTATTTTATATTAAATTCAGATGTACAGCATAATGGTTAGACATTTGTATAATTTAAGAAGTGATCCCTCGACTAATCTAGTACCCACCTGGCACTATACATAGTTATTACCATATTATTGACTATATTCTCTATGTTTTACTTTACATCCCCTGGCTTCTGTGTTATTGGCACATCTTTTTTTTTTTTTCCCCCCATTCTGAACTTTTTTTTATTAGTTTCAAGTGTATGAAACAACATAGTGATTAGACATTTATATACTTCACAAGGTGATAATCCCAATAAGTCTATTTCCCATCTGACACTGTAGTTCTTAGAATATTATTGACTATATTCCCTATGCTGTACTATATGTCCCTGTGACTATCTTTTTTTAATTATAGTTGACATTCACTATTATTTTATATTAGTTTCAGGGACTGTCTGTTAAGATCTTTGGCCTATTTTTTAACTGGGTTGTTCATTTTCTTTTTTTTTTTTCCTTTTAATTAATTTTTATTATGAAATACACATTTTTTAGAATTAGTTTCAGCTATACAACACAGTGCAATAGTTATACTTTTTACTCCTCGAAGTGACAACCCCCCTCCCCCAATCCGCCACCCCACTTCCCTCCAATATCATACATATCTATTACAATTCCCTTGACTCCACTCCCACACTATACTCCACGTCCCATGACTATATATTTCACTTACAGTTGACTATTGGCACATCTTTAGTGAGTAAGTATTAAAGAAGAAATATCATTTCATTGGAAGTGAAAACCTACCATTTTTATTTATTTCAAAACAGTTCTTTCTTTGCCTAGCACAGTCAGCAGAGGGTATTCTGGGCCCAAAGCTGCTGAGGTAGCCAGATGACTGGCACCGCTGACCTGGCCCCTCCCACCAGGAGCACGCAGGGCTTGATTCAGTAGCCTGGACTAGGGTCCACCAGCTACGCTGCCCTGGAAGCCGTGCTGTGGCACACACCCACATTCAAAGGTCTTCATGAAGCCAAGTGTAGCTAAAAGGCTTAGGGTGACATTTAAGTAGTGCTGGCTTTCTTTATGCTTGAAAGCTAACGTGGTGATTGCCCAATAAGAATGTTCTTTGGGGGATCAAGACTGTGAGCCTGGAAATAAGCCTGAAGTAATGACCTGGAGAAGCTTCTTTTTAAAAAAAAGATTTTATTGGGGGAATTGGGGGAGGGGAACAGCATTGGGGAATTGGGGAAGGGGAACAGACAAGTTGCTGTCCTTTTGTTCTTCAGTCTAGTTGTGGAGGACGTTGCTTCACTGGCCCATGTTGGTATTATGATCATTGCGTTCTTCCCGGGTGAGGCAGATCGGTCGCCAGCCATTGGACGGCTGCTCACAGCAGCTCACGCTGACTGTAGGCTGCTCATAGTAGCTTATGGCAACCCACTGCAGCCCCACTGCAACCTATGCCGTGGCCAGTGACTCACGGCAGCCCAGCTCCAGGTTGAGCTGTTGTTCACCATCTTAGCTGTAGGGGGTGTAGCGTCACTAGCCCATGTGGGATCCAAACCAGTGGCCCTGCTGCTCAGCGCTCACGTTCCCAAGCCAACTCGTAACCAACGAGTCACACTACCGGCCCTGGAGAAGCTTCTTGTCACTGAAAGCCATTGATATGGGAGTTCGTGAATCCTGCAAAATTTCTATGGGGGAGATGCTCAAAATAATATTGACAGCATTCCTTGGGTTCCTTGGGTTCATCCACTTAAGCTGTTTGGTTTTATAGATGAGATGGGTAGTTGGACGGCCTAGCATTTCTCATTCTTAAATATAAATTTCCAGGTACCATTCTATCTAGTAACTTTTAACCAGAGGAGATTTTTTTACTTCTCTACACACATGTGCACACCTCCCACACTTAGGGTCCCAATCCCCAACTAGCCACACGCTCAGAAACATGTTTTGTTGGCCACATCCCTCGGAACGGGTCTGTTGCCACAGGCAAATAGAATTAATAAAGCCACTGCCAGTGTGTTTGGTAATACGTTCAGAGGGACGGATACGCACATCCATCCTACCCCTGATTTTTAGACGCTTAGCCCCTCATCGTCTTTATGTCTGCCGCCCCGCGGGTAATCACCCTTCAGCACGCTCACTCTTGACTAACGCTCATTCTTTAGATGTCACAGATACTTGTCCCATGACATCTTTCTAGTATATCTAAATCTCCACATTTTTTTTTCAAAGATTTTATTGGGGAATTGGGGGAGGGGACCAGCCAAGTT